CCTCAAAGTCAAAAATTCATAAGAAAAAGTTGTGGACTTATGAAAAAAGTCACAAAATAACAAAAGAAATAATTAATGTAACATAAAGAGAGAAAGAAATTTAAAGAAATATTTAAAGATAACTTTAATTTACACACACAAATAATTTTTTATGCACAAGAAAAAATTATCTTAGAATCTTCGCAGTCTGATGAAACATGAAACATCAGGTATTTATTGCCACCACACAAAGTCTGTTAATCAGAGTCAAGTTCAGTCCCGAGTTTTCACTGAAAAAACATGAATTAGGATTTGTTGGAGTGGCTGAGGTGGAGCTGATGGACCGCAGGTGGAGCTGATGAACGCAGGCTGATGGTGTGATGTTTAAATTTACACCTGAAAAAGTAAAATTAAAATAATAACAATAATAAAAATCCAGAAATGCATGTTTCAAACGCTCAAACGTAACCCGTGATGTCATGTTTGTGTTGGGATTAACTGAGAGACAGAGGAAGCGGGCGTGCGTGCGTGTGCGCGCATAGGGGCGGGACTTGTGTCTGACGCGAAAGGTTTTTTCGGTCTGTGCGCAGCTGCTTCAGTTGTAGTTTTTCTACGTGTTTTAAGAGAAAAAGTGAATGAAGACATCAGACAGAGAACAGAAGTCCTCCTCCTCGGTTTAGGTCCAGCCTCACCCTCTCTCAGATCATCTCCATCATCCTCCAGCTCTGATGTGAGTACTTTATTTATTTCAGGCTTTTTAAAACCTCGAAAATCTTTCAATCCATGTCTGCTTTCAAAAAAAAAACAAAGTGTAGTTAACAGGCTAAAGAGATTTCTCATTAAATCCCGTGGTGGGTACAGCTACAGCACCATTCAAACTCCTTTTTTCTCATTAATTTAATTTTTAAAATCTAATTTTATCTCTAAATTTATGGATCAAAAGCGAAAGTTGTCTGGAAATGTCGGTGCTGAGACTGCAGAAGTACGACCGTGACTCACCGGGTGACTCACCTACAAAACTATCATCAAACAGTGTGATCGGCTGAGCTGTGATGCTTTAATTTCCTGTCACACACACACAGAAAAACAAAGACTTAAACATATCACACAAAGCTACAAACACCTGGGAGTTTTTAGAGAGAAGAGAACCCACTGTGGGAATGTTTTTGGTGTGTTTTGTCCCGCGGGGGGAGGGGAGTGATTACTTAGTGCATGTTGATCTCCATCAGTCAGTCAGACTCCTGCTGCACTAATCTTTCTCCATTTTGCGGGTGGAAAACAAGCTGCTGGCAGTAACACTGTGTGTGTGTGTGTGTGTGTGTGTGTGTGTGTGTGTGTGTGTGTGTGTGTGTGTGTGTGTGAAAACTGTTTATTTTTTATTCTTTTCATTTGTCCTTTACTTCTTCTGAGCTGCTGAGGCTGTTTCATCCTCTGAGGTTCTGATTTTGTGGACGGAGGCCAAAGTTCGATGAGTCATGTTTCTATTACTGGATCAGTTTGTGTTTAGAATTCAGGCGGTGTTCCTGCGTTTAAGGTCTAACAGGCTTCACTCTGTGAAAATCATCTGAGATCTCACTTCAGAGTTTAAAATATAATATTAGTAGCACACAAAGGTTTATTATATTTATTATATTGTATTTATTGTCTGAAGATGGTAAATGGACTGGTTCTTATAAAGCGCTTTTCTACTCATGTGAGCACTCAAAGCGCTTTACACAACTTGTGCATTCACCCATTCACACCAGCACATCTTTCATAGTGTTTCATAGCTAACATTCACACACATTCACACTCCGATGGATGCATCGGAGAGCAATGTGGGGTTAGTATCTTGCCCAAGGATATTTGGCATGTAGACTAGGGGAAGCCAGGAATCGAATCACCAACCTTCCAATCAGTAGATGACCTGCTCTACCACCTGAGCTACACCCACCCCACCCCTGAAGACTGCTGTGCTCCTCCCAAACCTGCGATCACGATCCCGATTCATTCATCTCATCGAGGCTGCTCTCCATGAAAACCTTGCAGCTCACGACTGTCACAGCTTCACTGCTGCCTCGGCCGATGAGCAAGGATCAAAAGTAAAAAGGAGAAAATGAAGAGTGCTGCACACCCTTTAAATCTCTTTTCTTTCTTAAAACAAATATTTTAAACCAAGTTCATCTCATTATTATTATCATTGCTATATGTGCAGTTCCTTCACACAGGGGTGTTTAGAGGGGGCGGCAACAAAGAAATATTTCATCCGTGTAGAAAACTGAATGTCTTTCATGCTCGTGTGCAGCCATGCGTCTGATTGCTGATCTAACATTTGAGATTTGGAGCTGCACAAGAATTAAAAGTTAATCTTGTGCTGGATAATTGTTTTGCTGTTTTAACTCGTATCATTGTTCACACCACAGAACAGCCCTGATTGGTCCATTCAGCACTGTGTTTCCTCCTATGTATTTCCAGCTGCTACTTTTTGTTAAACTGAAAGAAAAAGAAGGAATCAACAAGTATGTTGGTGGTGAAATCACTTCTTCTTCTTAATAAAGTCTCTTCTGCTGCCTTTGCATACACATTCCTGCCCCAGAGACACTTTGCATGACAGTTTCCTTCCTATTGTTGAGTTCTTAGTTCCTAAATGCTTTTTGAGCTTTAAGTAAACTTTTGCAGCTAAAACATGTTTTTTTCTAGAGAGAACCACGTAGAACCTTTAGCTATAGATCTGACCTCCATACACACTATCTGTATCTGCAGCAGTCGGCTTTGAAAAGTCAAGGAGCTGCAGTGATTTAAGCAGCATTCTTTAAATGGCCTTCAAGCTGTTTTCCCCTCTGACATGTCAGTGCTGCTGTTGCCCTGCATCACTGTCTGCTCTCTCAGTGCCCCCACAACCCCTACATCCACCTCTGGACTCCACAGGGATGTTTAGTCACCACGCCATCTTTATATATATTGCACATAAGCCTGAAGTTATGCGCTCAAAGCCTAGACGTCTACCTCTAATTGTATAAATGAGTCATTTTTGACTGAATTCTTGTTACAAAACTCACATTTTCCCTGCAGGTCGACTCCAGATGCAGCAGGGACTCCAGGAGCTCCCGGGGCCCCGGAAGGTGAGGGGGGTCCTCCAGCTCAGGCCCCCAACCTGACGAGCAACAGACGACTCCAGCAGACACAGGCACAGGTGGACGAGGTGAGGACCGCAGCTCACTACGAGCAAATGAAAAAACGTATCAGCAGCAGAGATGCTGATGGGTGTCTTCATCCCTCAGGTGGTCGACATCATGCGCGTGAATGTGGACAAAGTCCTGGAGAGAGATCAGAAGCTGTCGGAGCTGGACGACCGCGCCGACGCCCTGCAGGCCGGAGCCTCGCAGTTCGAGAGCAGCGCTGCCAAACTCAAGAACAAGTACTGGTGGAAAAATTGCAAGGTGGGTGTGACACAAGGAGAGTTTTCCATGTTTCCTTCCCATCATCCTCCCCTCAGGTTGGTTTCCTGCAGCAGACAGTGTGGCCTCGGATTTCTGAGTAGAAACCACCATTAAAGTGTTTTTGTTTGTTTTTTATAGATCTTCACGCATCAAACTGTAAACATAGCATTACTGAAATAATGATGACAAGCTTTGCTTTCAGAACTGCTTTAATACTTTGTGGCATTTATTCAGCAAAGTGCAGGAAACTTACCTCAGAGATTTAGCTCCACATTTCCACACAAGTGCTGCAGATTTGTCAGCTGCACATCTATGATGCAAATCTCCTGGTCCCCAAGGTGCTCCGTTGGATTGAGATCCGGTGACGGAGGCTGTTCAAATACACTGAGCTCACTGTCATGTTCAAGAAATCAGCTTGAGATCATTTTAGTTCGCGGCACGAGGCGTGCTATCTTGCTGGAAGCAGAATACGGATGT